ATTTCACAAATGCATATTTTTTATGGGACATCCCGAACCATCCCGGTTTTTCTCGGGTTGTCCCGGTCCCGTTTTAAATGGGACAACATTGGGATAAAGACTCATCCCGTACCGTACCGGACCGTTATTATAAAACCGGGACGGGATCGGGATAAGTCAAATCCCGGACCATCCCGGACCGTGCCCACCCCTACCAAAATCTTCCCATGATTTGGGAAATTTTTCTATGACCGTCATCACTTTAAATTTTTCAGGCAATTCCATATCCGCTTCACGAAGAGAATGTAAGATAAGCTCAAATTCTTGTGTCTATTCTATCACCGATTTACCATCTTAGGCATCTTTCATGTCAAATCGTAGGAATTTAGAAACAATATACTTTTCAAGACGGTTCTCGGTATTATATTTCCTATCCAACTTATCCCAAAGGTCCTTAGCCATGCTGTAGAGAGAGCCAACAAAATCATGCCTTTTGCAATTTCATCCCTCTCACGTCATAAAGCTTGGCGTTCAAGACTTTTGGGATCCGATTCAACAATGCGGGAGGGGGGGGGGAGGAGGGGGGGGGGCACATTGTCATAGTTACCGAGATCAAACCCTTGGTGATTAACCAAATTTTCATGCGTTGTTGCCAACGCTTGAAAAAAATGCCCAGAAAATTGTTTCGGCATTCCAGTTAAATCAACCCTTTGCGAGCCCGTGGCAACAGTGAGGTGTGTCTCCACAATTAGACATAGACACAGAAATAACATTATTTTCAGGAATTTCTTTCACATTATTCTCAACAACAACATTTTCAGAAACAACTGCATTTTCCAAGTTTGCCATTTTTGGAATAACCAAAACTCGAGAAATAATATCTTTCTTCAAGATTGTTAGAAAATTGATATTAAAAATGCGAGTTTAACCAGATAAAATCTTCGAGTTTAAACAAATCACCAGACAAACCGCCAAATGCAAGGAATGAAAACAACAACAACAACAACAACAACAACAATAATAATAATAATAATAATAATAATAATAATAATAATAATAATAATAATAATAATAATAATAATAATAATAATAATAATAATAATAATAATAATAATAATAATAATAATAATAATAATAATAATAATAATAATAATAATAATAATAATAATAATAATAATAATAATAATAATAATAATAATAATAATAATAATAATAATAATAATAATAATAATAATAATAATAATAATAATAATAATAATAATAATAATAATAATAATAATAATAATAATAATAATAATAATAATAATAATAATAATAATAATAATAATAATAATAATAATAATAATAATAATAATAATAATAATAATAATAATAATAATAATAATAATAATAATAATAATAATAATAATAATAATAATAATAATAATAATAATAATAATAATAATAATAATAATAATAATAATAATAATAATAATAATAATAATAATAATAATAATAATAATAATAATAATAATAATAATAATAATAATAATAATAATAATAATAATAATAATAATAATAATAATAATAATAATAATAATAATAATAATAATAATAATAATAATAATAATAATAATAATAATAATAATAATAATAATAATAATAATAATAATAATAATAATAATAATAATAATAATAATAATAATAATAATAATAATAATAATAATAATAATAATAATAATAATAATAATAATAATAATAATAATAATAATAATAATAATAATAATAATAATAATAATAATAATAATAATAATAATAATAATAATAATAATAATAATAATAATAATAATAATAATAATAATAATAATAATAATAATAATAATAATAATAATAATAATAATAATAATAATAATAATAATAATAATAATAATAATAATAATAATAATAATAATAATAATAATAATAATAATAATAATAATAATAATAATAATAATAATAATAATAATAATAATAATAATAATAATAATAATAATAATAATAATAATAATAATAATAATAATAATAATAATAATAATAATAATAATAATAATAATAATAATAATAATAATAATAATAATAATAATAATAATAATAATAATAATAATAATAATAATAATAATAATAATAATAATAATAATAATAATAATAATAATAATAATAATAATAATAATAATAATAATAATATAATAATAATAATAATAATAATAATAATAATAATAATAATAATAATAATAATAATAATAATAATAATAATAATAATAATAATAATAATAATAATAATAATAATAATAATAATAATAATAATAATAATAATAATAATAATAATAATAATAATAATAATAATAATAATAATAATAATAATAATAATAATAATAATAATAATAATAATAATAATAATAATAATAATAATAATAATAATAATAATAATAATAATAATAATAATAATAATAATAATAATAATAATAATAATAATAATAATAATAATAATAATAATAATAATAATAATAATAATAATAATAATAATAATAATAATAATAATAATAATAATAATAATAATAATAATAATAATAATAATAATAATAATAATAATAATAATAATAATAATAATAATAATAATAATAATAATAATAATAATAATAATAATAATAATAATAATAATAATAATAATAATAATAATAATAATAATAATAATAATAATAATAATAATAATAATAATAATAATAATAATAATAATAATAATAATAATAATAATAATAATAATAATAATAATAATAATAATAATAATAATAATAATAATAATAATAATAATAATAATAATAATAATAATAATAATAATAATAATAATAATAATAATAATAATAATAATAATAATAATAATAATAATAATAATAATAATAATAATAATAATAATAATAATAATAATAATAATAATAATAATAATAATAATAATAATAATAATAATAATAATAATAATAATAATAATAATAATAATAATAATAATAATAATAATAATAATAATAATAATAATAATAATAATAATAATAATAATAATAATAATAATAATAATAATAATAATAATAATAATAATAATAATAATAATAATAATAATAATAATAATAATAATAATAATAATAATAATAATAATAATAATAATAATAATAATAATAATAATAATAATAATAATAATAATAATAATAATAATAATAATAATAATAATAATAATAATAATAATAATAATAATAATAATAATAATAATAATAATAATAATAATAATAATAATAATAATAATAATAATAATAATAATAATAATAATAATAATAATAATAATAATAATAATAATAATAATAATAATAATAATAATAATAATAATAATAATAATAATAATAATAATAATAATAATAATAATAATAATAATAATAATAATAATAATAATAATAATAATAATAATAATAATAATAATAATAATAATAATAATTGTTGAGGTTTTGTCCCGTAGATCCGAAAGCCCAACATTAACTTCGGATATTAAGGACGATTAATACGGTATAAAAGTGAATAAATATATAAAACTGTATAAACTAGCTATTTCTACGTGGAAACCCGGAAAGGGAGAAAACCACGGGACTTTTTAGGCTAACGTCCAAGCCCGCTCTTTCTCATTAATATCCTCCCATCACTCATTTACATAGTAAAACAGTATAACTCCATTAATGAAGCTTGAATAACTCAGCTATAAAGATGAAGAAATAAGCAGGGAGGGAGAAGAGAAGCAGAGATCAGATCTTTAATTTGGAAGCCAAGCTTCCTATTTATAGCCAAGGGGGAGGGTTCCCTCTTCTTCTGGGCCGGAAAGGCCGGTTGGGCCTTAAATGGGCCTAACTTCTATTCTTTCGGTCCAACTGGCCGAAATAAGCCGGGTAAGCCTAAATGGGCCTCGCCAAATGGGCCCCGTACCAGGGTGGTGTCTTGGGCATCTGAACAGTAGTAGGCCGGGGTAATATACCCAACACAAGTCCCCCAGTTTCTTGAGTAGTGAGCCTGTGAATCTGCTCGAGAAAGTATATTCTCGTTCACGTCCTTCCCTATCTTCCCTGAATCAGTGTATGACTTGCCTTGTAGTGCAAGTATAAGGGATGTGCAATTCTGCACTAGGCACGACGGTGCTGAAGAGCCACCCACTCGTGCTGCATAATACGGCAGTCCCGACCCTGAATGGCATGGGTGGACTTGACCGAGAAGAAGGCACGACGGCGCTGTAGAGCCAGCCGTTCGTGCTGCATAAAAGCGATGATCGCCATCCCAGAGCAAGGATAGACGAGCCCGTCAGAAAACCATGCACGACGGTGCTGTGGAGCCCGTACGTGCTGCATAAGAGCGACGGTTGCCATCCTATAGCAAGGATGGACGAGCCCGCCAGAAAGCCAGGCACGACGGTGCTGTGGAGCCCGTACGTGCTGCATAAGAGCGACAGTTGCCATCCTATAGCAAGGATGGACGAGCCCGCCAGAAAGCCAGGCACGACGGTGCTGTGGAGCCCGTACGTGCTGTATAAGAGCGACGGTTGCCATCCTATAGCAAGGATGGACGAGCCCGCCAGAAAGCCAGGCACGACGGTGCTGTGGAGCCCGAACGTGCTGCATAAAATAAGAGATCGTCATCCTAGATTAAGGATGGACCAACATGACTCGGACAGACATGGACTTGACTCGACTCAGACAGACCTGGACTTGACTCAGACGGACATGGACTTGACTCGACTCAGACAGACCTGGACTTGACTCGAGACCACTGCGGGCCATCATGAATTCACATCACCCCCAGCCAATTTATATCTCCCGTTCGCTCGCCTTCGCCGAACGGGTCGTTCTCCCCTGGTCGTTCCAAACAATAGTTCCATTCGCCCGTTCGTCCCACTAGAACGGTCTAATGTACAATGATGATCACGTCGTGCCGAGGTGGCTGATCGTAGAGCTACAGAAGCGGTCAGATCATCTGAATAATAGGTCATTTCTGCTATAAGTCAGCACCAGGGTTAAGGTGCAAGCTGTTCGGCTTATTTCCGATATTTGTTCGTAGTTTCCTGATCCGCAAGGCATCACCTCTTGCTGCCTGCTGCCTTGTAGGCCCAAGGCTGATGTAACTTGTTCGTGTTATCATCCGTGTTCTTCCTGATCCGCAAGGCAATCACCTCTTGCTGCCTTGTAGGCCCAAGGCTGATGTAACTTGTTCGTGTTATCATCCGTGTTCTTTCTTATCCGCAAGGCAATCACCTCTTGCTGCAAGACAGTTTCACAATTTGTGTAGTGTCTGCCATCTTCCAAGCCCATAATTCCGATGCATACCGTCGGTTTTACCGTCCGGGGTCATCCATATCATGAGGTTGAGATGTCCATCCTGGACCATTGAAAATAAGGCTCCCAATTCGGGTCTCCCCCTTATTCTCTGCCAAAATGGAGACTCGCCTCTTGGTTACAGCTCGGGTTCCACCACAATAAGGTTCGGGCGAGCTGCATGGCCAAGGCAAGATTTTAAGACCAGAGTCCCGATCCCCCGCTCGGTCACCCTATGACTTCGGATGCCGCCCGGTTCGTCCTACTCAAGATCTTTTACACCATCTCCCAAGCTGAGTCCGGGCTTGGTTAACCTGCATATTTTTTTTTTTTTTTTTTTTTTTGTGCTGAGATGGTGGCTCCCCATGGATCGAGACAAGTGGTATCTATCGATCGAGGTGAGACTTTATGGAATGTGAAGATGCCTCCTAAGCAAATAATGTCGTGCTGTGGGGCTGATCATGATATGAGGAACATGAATAATCCAAGGGTCTTGCGAGCGCCCTCTGCTCAAGGACAATGGCAGCAACTGCGGCAGCGGTCCACAAAATGTAGCCATGCTGAAAGTCAAGCAACGGTCCTCATCCGCGCAGTGCGGGGACGAGGCCGGTCTTCAAATATGATAATGGCACCGTACCAGAGGGTCGGTGGCCATGTAATGAGGTCGCCACTGGGGGCTGATCGGAACAGAACTAGCAACGGTCCTTATCTGCACGATGCGGGGACAAGGCCGGTCTTCAAATATGATAAGGGCACCGTACCAAAGGGTCGGTGGCCATGTAATGATGTCGGCGCTGGGGGCCGATCAGAAACAAATAATCAACGGTCCTCATCCGTGAGGAGCAGAAATGAGGCCGGTCTTCCAAATGATCACCATGCCGAGCCAGAAGAGTCGGTTGTGGTGAGAGGAAAGTCGGCGCTGGGAGGCCGATCTGTAAATCCGAGGGTCTTACAGGCGCCCTCAGCCCATAATGTTGCTCTAGGTGCCGAACGGCGAAGGCCGGATTGCCAGTCAGGTAGCGTAATCTGAAAGCTCGTGTATCGTATAGTCCATAGAACTTCCCTTCATGTGTTGTGACATCTATACATTTGTAGTCTCTTCTTTTCTCAATTGTCCATGATTCCTTCTACACACTAGTAACCTCACTCTCTCTCTCACTTTTTTTTTTTTTTCCTTTCCTTTTTTTTTTTTTCATTCCTTTTTTTTTTCTTTCCTCTTTTTTTTTTTTCCTCTTTTTTTTTCCTTGCGTTTCCCGATCTTCCTGTCCGGTCTGACCGAACGGCTCTAAATGTAAATGTTCCTTCTTTTTGTTGCCAATCATGAGCGTCTCTGCGCGTCACGTCGAACGTCATGAACATCTCTGTGCATCATGAACGTCTTTGAATAAATGTGATTCTTTTCTTGTTGCCGGGCATGAACGTCTACGCGCTTCATGCCGAATCGTCATGAACATCTACGTGCATCATGACCTCCCGTTCGAGAATATCTCAAGAATCTCACTGCACAGTAAGCATGGTAATACGGCCGAACGGCCGGACAACATATACAAGTATATACAATTACTCATGTATAACATTTCCCTTTTATTTTTTATTTTTCATCCATGACTATCGGCCGAAGCGGTAATAATAACCCTCGGCCTAGATTTATTTCTTCCCGTACTGGGTATAGTTTCCGTTCGGGCATTTAATGCCGAACGAGACTTTGAGTGGTCTTCGAAATTAAAATACGTCATCGGGGACACTTCAGCCAATTAATTTGGCCCGATCGGGGGTGGACTGATACACGCAGTCAAACCAAACATTTATTTAAAACGTTGGTGATCTTATCTATAAAGCTCCGTTCAGCACTGCGTATCTAGGGAATTTTAATTCCTTAGTAAATAATGGTTATTTAATTACCAATTAATACTTTTCAAGTATTAGCCCCCCAATGTCGAGCGGGATGTAGGTCCCTTTGACGTTAAAAACGTGTCGCTGGAGTAATGCCGCTCGGGGGAACTCCGATCGCTCCACAAAATCAATCATTTAATTTTAAAATGGACCCATCACCGGAGCTTCGCTGGGTCATTATTCAATTTCGGGGGTACTTTGCCCCTCAACATGCTATCTGAAATTAATTAGCAACTGAGAAAATTGTGGGTACTTAGCTGGATAGGCTGATCTTCAGCTGCCAGACCAAGTTTTTGGCCTGGATAATTTTGCTTGTTCGAATAAGAAGCTGTTCCGTTCACCTGATCTGAATGTTTCTGATCTGAATTTTTTAAGTTCTGATCTGATCTGATCTGAATTTTTCTGATCTGATCTGATCTGATCTGAATTTTTCTGATCTGATCTGATCTGATCTGAATCTTTCTGATCTGATCTGAATCTTTCTGATCTGATCTGAACGTTGCTGAACTGATCTGAATGTTGCTGATCTGATCTGATCTGATCTGAATGTTTCTGATCTGATCTGAATTCTTCTGATCTGAATCTTTCTGATCTGATTTGAATATTTCTATAATTGTAATTATAATTATAATTATAATTATTAGATTTATAATTGTAATTAAAAATATAACTTAAATAAAATTACAATTATAATCATACTTATAAAAAAATAATAATTAAAATTAAATTTAAAATTATAATAATTATACCAATTACGCTAATTATAAATACAGATACAATTATAAATGTAATTATGTTTTTAATTATGATTAGTTTTATAATTATTTTTTTGTAATTATAATTATAATATTTATCTCTATAATCACAATTATATCTATAATTTCTAATTTAAATATATAATTACTCCGAAGTAATAATAATTACAAAAATAACAACAAGAACAACAATCATATTAATAATAATGATGATTATAATTATAATTACATTGTAAATCATAATTATAATTATAATTATAAATATATTATAATATATTATATTATATTATATTATATTATATTATATTGTATTGTATTGTATTGTATTGTATTGTATTGTATTGTATTGTATTGTATTGTATTGTATTGTATTGTATTGTATTGTATTGTATTGTATTGTATTGTATTGTATTATATTATATTATATTATATTATATTATATTATATTATATTATATTATATTATATTATATTATATTATATTATATTATATTATATTATATTATATTATATTATATTATATTATATTATATTATATTATATTATATTATTATAATATAATAATAATTTTATATTATTAACATTATTATTATATTATTAATAATAATATTATTATATTAATATATTAATATTATTAACAATAACTATAATATAATAATCATAATTAATATAATAATAAAAGTGATAAATCATGTTTGAATTTTTTGATCTGATCTGATCTGATCTGAATGTTTCTGATCTGATCTGAATGTTTCTGATCTGGTCTGAATCTTTCTGATCTGATCTGAATGTTGCTGATCTGATCTGAATCTTTCTGATCTGATCTGAATGTTTCTGATCTGATCTGATCTGATCTGAATCTTTCTGATCTGATCTGATCTGATCTGAATCTTTCTGATCTGATCTGATCTGATCTGAATAAAATAAGATTAAGGAATAAGTAATAAGATTAAGACGAACGGAACAGCTTCTAAGATCCAGCCCAATGTTTCACTTTAAGTTCCACATCCCAAGGAACGGCTGAAAACCATGCTTCTAATTTCATTTTCCGTTGACAGATTATTTTGATTTGGTATATCATTGCTTCCAAACTCAATTCCGGTGTCAAGGCCCGACCCTTGGACTCCATTTAATTTGGGCCCATCTGGGATACCCAATTCCATTCGCACAAATCGGAGCACACTGAAACCTTTCATGATCATTCATCCAAGCCGTACCGCAACGAGTGTTTCATCCAAATCCAGCCTGGTGCCGAACGGTAAGATCGAGCGGCAGTTCCAGAATCTCGAGCGGCAAGTGCCATGCGGCACAGTGGCAATGCATAGCTGGGCATCAGACGGCTGATTTGCCCGAACGGAAGCTGCTACCTCTGGCTGAACGGGCATTAGAACGGGATTCACCACCCTTGCTCGAATGACGAGGGGGTCGTCCCGAAGCTAGATAGCGTCTGACACGCCGATCTTAGTAAGAGATGAAGAATCCCAAAATTCCCCGTTCGGGAATGGTTAGAATAGGTGGGCCTTGTTCCTCTGCAATTGGTGTTTCATCGATCGGTGTTTGGTCAACCGGGTTATCTGGGTGTGGGACCCTAGGATACCGGTCAGGGAAGGGCCACCGTTCGGGACGATGATCGATTGAGGCTGCTGAAGCCCCTGCATTTTGAGAATAGGTTGAAAGTTTTTCTACCGAACGGCAGATACCGTTTGGTTGAGCAAGAGGCAGTGAGGTAGTTCCCTGGAATTCATTTTGGTGTTGTTGCTTGCCCCGATAAGGAGCCCGTTCGGGGGGTAGTTCCTGCTGATCTTACGGACTGGTCAGGCGCTCTAGGGTCCCCTCCGGTGCCCGTTTGGGAAGTTCTCGTTCGACGTTCGGTGCTTATTAGCTTTGACGTTCGGGAAGTTCTCGTTCGGGATCCGCTAGCTTTCGTCGAGTAATGAACATGGGCCGAACGGGTTTCAAGTCTCGTTCAGGCGTCGTCGTTGACTGGGTACAAATGGATACAGGGCCTGCTTGGCGGAAAATCCCCCGCTCGGCCCCCTGCTAAGTTGAGACTGTTGCTCTGGTGGCTTCTTTGACTTCCTTTTAGTTGTTCGTCCTGGCGTTCGGTGTGTTCCCGTTCGGGAAGTAGGGGGTTGGTTCTTCGGATGACCATGAATCTGTCATATCACCCAGTGGAGTTGTCAGAGCTCCTTCTGTTGCTACGACGCTGCTGCTTGGGTCATGAGCTGAGCAGTATTAGAAACGGGGGTTTTACTTGGCTCGTGGTTGAGGCTGCGTTGATTCCCTGAGGTGGCCGGCGATCCCATAGCATGGCTGTATGGATTCCTGCCCGGGGAGTCTTCCTTCGAGAAGGTGTATGTGCTTTTGGATAAGAGCCCACCTGTCAAGTCATGAGTCATGACTAGTGTTGTCAGGCTTTCCCACGTGAAATCATGGAACTTCTCTCTTTTTCATCAATAAGTGAGTACATGGGTCCCACTTCCCATCTTTTTCCTCAAACAATCTTCCTTGAACTCCTGCCGCCGAAGTTGAAGTTTGTTGGGTGCATAGATTTGATATATGGCCAAGCTGCTGAAGTTGTTTCACTGGGTCAGGAGGTTTTACTTTGCTGCTGTGCTTTTCACCGTCGTTGACCAGTGAACTAGCTTGGAGCTCAAAACAAAGATGTAAACCTTAGAACATGTGAATTTTTCCTCCTTTTTCCCTTCGTTCCTTGATGAAAGCAGTAGCTTTACATGAATCTTTTTGAAGCGTTTCCCACAGACGGCGCCAATGTTGAGGTTTTGTCCCGTAGATCCGAAAGCCCAACATTAACTTCGGATATTAAGGACGATTAATACGGTATAAAAGTGAATAAATATATAAAACTGTATAAACTAGCTATTTCTACGTGGAAACCCGGAAAGGGAGAAAACCACGGGACTTTTTAGGCTAACGTCCAAGCCCGCTCTTTCTCATTAATATCCTCCCATCACTCATTTACATAGTAAAACAGTATAACTCCATTAATGAAGCTTGAATAACTCAGCTATAAAGATGAAGAAATAAGCAGGGAGGGAGAAGAGAAGCAGAGATCAGATCTTTAATTTGGAAGCCAAGCTTCCTATTTATAGCCAAGGGGGAGGGTTCCCTCTTCTTCTGGGCCGGAAAGGCCGGTTGGGCCTTAAATGGGCCTAACTTCTATTCTTTCGGTCCAACTGGCCGAAATAAGCCGGGTAAGCCTAAATGGGCCTCGCCAAATGGGCCCCGTACCAGGGTGGTGTCTTGGGCATCTGAACAGTAGTAGGCCGGGGTAATATACCCAACAACAACAACAACAATAATAATAATAATAATAATAATAATAATAATAATAATAATAATAATAATAATAATAATAATAATAATAATAATAATAATAATAATAATAATAATAATAATAATAATAATAATAATAATAATAATAATAATAATAATAATAATAATAATAATAATAATAATAATAATAATAATAATAATAATAATAATAATAATAATAATAATAATAATAATAATAATAATAATAATAATAATAATAATAATAATAATAATAATAATAATAATAATAATAATAATAATAATAATAATAATAATAATAATAATAATAATAATAATAATAATAATAATAATAATAATAATAATAATAATAATAATAATAATAATAATAATAATAATAATAATAATAATAATAATAATAATAATAATAATAATAAATTAATAATAATAATAATAATAATAATAATAATAATAATAATAATAATAATAATAATAATAATAATAATAATAATAATAATAATAATAATAATAATAATAATAATAATAATAGAATAAATTAAAATGAATAGATAGAAAAGGTAAGAAAACTTATCGCATGATCGCCCGTTTAAAACGGACTGATCTTGAAGAAAGATAGCCCCCGTATTCCAATAGCTGCTCGGACCGATCTGATTAACTCGCTTCCAA